CTGGAGAGCCTTTGAGGAAAAAAGAATTTGGATGGTAAACAGATTTTACTCATTTCTCATTAGCAATTAGAATAAAGAGATTTTATGCATGTGTGGGCATGCACGCGTGCATGAACACACAGATATGTGCATATGAGTGCATATGAGCAAAAATTAAAAAGAGATTACCTGGACTTCCCTGGTGTGCAGTGGTTAAGACTCTGCGCTCCCAATTCAGGGGCCCCGGGTTTGATCCCTGGCCAGGGAACTAGATCCCACATACATGCCACAACTAAGAGTTCACATGCCACAACTAAGGAGCCCACCTGCTACAACTAAGACCCAGTGCAACCCAAATAAATAAATAATAAATATTTTTTTAAATAAGAGAGAGATTACTAATTCAATGCATTATCAAGGGTGTGTAGAGTAACAGGCAATCACCAATATGCTGGTAGTGAAAAGTGGTTCATCCCTTTCAAACATAATTTAGCAATATTTATTTATTCACAAAATACAATGGCCATCTTTCCATGGCTTTGCCTAGAGATCCATGTCAATCTTTTTACAGGCTGTAGAGGATAGGATGCCTCATAATTTATTTCTTCAATCTCCTGTAGTTATTTGATTCCCCCCGCCTTTTTTTGCCCTTATAATTAGTGGTTCAAATGAAACTCTTGGACCCTCTTCCTGAAATTTTCAGATGTAATCAAGATCCTAAAGTTTGTGTGAATTGTTTTTATGCTGATCACGGCCTTTTAAATGGAGAATTTATTGATTAAGAACATTCTGTCATTGTTACTTTGTTTTATGTATTTTTGTCACGTTAATGGTTTGGATAAAAAAATCTGATTTTTCTTACTAGCAGAATTTTACTCCTATACCTAGAGAAGAGGAGAGAAATGTTTTGTGGTTTGAATCCTTTGAGAAACCAGTCAGCATTGGAAATGAGACAGACACCATCATCCCATCTCCCACCTTTACAAGGCACCCAGTTGAGGATAATAAACGGTCCTTGAGAGGCTGGGTGGATGGCAAACTTCAGTGATTCTATTTTCTACATGAAGTTTTGAAACTTGGAGTGCATTTCAGAGGCAAGGCAGGGAGAAGGAAGGAGATGAGAGGTGTAAGGCAGGAGAACAGGATGCCTACAGGCAACTTTTAGGAAGTTTTGCTTGGTGGCTTTGAATGGAACCCTCCCCTCCGTGTCCTCTAATCTTCGGCAAAATGTCCATTTTTCATTGACATCTTATAATATGAAGAGAAGTACCCAAACCTGCTCCAGAGCTGTAGGAGGCAGCAATAAAGGCTTGCTGAGAAATTATTTCTTATTCTTAACACTTTTGTCAGCTGATGATTTGGACACAAAGAATATGTTTAAATATCTAATAAATGGGGCTTCCCCGGCGGCACAGTGGTTAAGAATCTGCCTGCCAATGCAGGGGACACGGGTTCGAGCTCTGGTCCAGGAAGACCCCACATGCTGCGGAGCAACTAAGCCCATGCGCCACAACTACTGAGCCTGCGCTCTAGAGCCTGTGCTCCACAGCTACTGAGCCTGCGTGCCACAACTACTGAAGCTCGTGCGCCTCGAGCCCGTGCTCCGCAAGAAGAGAAACCACCGCAATGAGAAGCCCACGCACGGCAATGAAGAGTAGCCCCCGCTCGCAGCGACTAGAGAAAGCCCGTGCACAGCAACAAAGACCCAATGGAACCAAAAATAAATAAATAAAACAAATAAATTAGAAAAGAAAATCTAATGAATGACTTAACAACAGTCTGGTACTACTAACTACATTTTGAAACAATTTCTCCTAGAGTTGAGATTGTTAATTTAGAAAGCTATGTGCCAAGCTGACATGCAAATACTCTAGCATTTCTTTTCCTTCTGCAGCACTTCAGCATGTTTGTCCTCTGGATGGGGAGGGTCATAGGAAAACATCGCGCAGTAGACTCTGCCACTAACTGTATGGCCTTGGGCATGTCATTTTTCTCTCTCAGATGAGTAAGACTACATGATTTCGAAGGTCCCCTCTAGTTCCAACATTCTTCTATTCCTTGATTACCAACTCTAGCACATCATAATAGATCTAGGGGGAAATACAGGAAAAAGAGAAAAGAGAGAAAAAATGGTCCACAGCAGAATCCCCGATCCTCAGCATAATTGACATTTTGGGCCGGATAGTTCTTTATTGTAGGGGCTGTCCTCTGCACTGCAGATCTCAGGGTCTACTCAGTTTGCCTCAGATGTGGTCAATGGAACCCCTGCATCAGTATCATCTGAAAATGCATTAAAGATACAGATTCTGGCTCTCTGCAGCACCACAGAGTTAGAATCTCTAGAGGCAGCATCTGGAATTATTAAGAAGCTCCTCAAGTCACTCTTTTGAACACTATAGGGTGAGAACTCTGCTCTAGGCCCTCCCAGTTCAAATCTGAAGAGAGCCATCAAACACTACTCTGCTCGAATTCAGATTAGCCCAAAAGAAGGAAAGAGCCTCCAAGTTCCTGATTCTGACTATTGAAACACTGAATTCAAAACAAACCCTGACACAGTGCTCACCACATCCTTTACAACATTAGCTCTTTGAATCCATACAGCAATATTACCAGGTGGATACCACCATCACTCCCTTTTTATAAATGAGGAAACTGAGGCACAGAGGAGTTAAGTCACTTGCCCAAGAACATTCATCGAGTGCTAGGCATATCCAAGATTTGAGCAAAGGCAGTATGGATCCAGGGCACATGTACTTAACACTCTGCTTCACTTGAATAGATCCGTCAGGACACAATGGCAAAGCAAGGAGTTAATCAGGGAAAGAGACGGGCAAGAAGCGGCCTCCTGGAATCTAGTCAACTCTGAGTTTGGGAAAATCATGAGCACACAGTAGGTTGCACCTACTCAGGAGCAATCAGAACAGGACATGAGCAAACTTGAAAGTGTTCCCCAAGCTACACACAGAACTGCCCATACAGGGCAGAAGCCTCACGGGCACAAGAGGCTTAAACACAATCTCTTACTAACGTTGGTTCACCAACAAGCTACTCTGACCCAGAAGCAACTGCCAGGAAGCCAGGCCTAAAAATACCATACTCATCCCTGGCAGTCTGAAAACTGTGTTCATGTCCAAGGCTGTGCCCTTTCAGGAACGATCAGAGAGGAAACCTCCAAGTTATGATTCCCTGGCTGAACATAAGGCAAAAACATAAATTCCCTGAACCATGATAGACACACACACATACAACGGTAAAGAGCAAAAATCTAACTGGCTAGGAGGGCTTAAGCACAACCTTTGCCCAATAAGTGTCTTATTCCCACGCAGAGGCAACCCCTAAATAGCCATGTTAAAACAGAAAAGCAAGGGCTTCCCTGCTGGCACGGTGGTTGGGAGTCCGCCTGCCGATGCAGGGGACACGGGTTCGTGCCCTGGTCCGGGAAGATCCCACATGCCGCGGAGCGGCTGGGCCCGTGAGTCATGGCCGCTGAGCCTGCGCGTCCGGAGCCTGTGCTCCGCAGCGGGAGAGGCCACAACAGTGAGAGGCCCGCGTACCGCAAAAAAACAAAACAAAAAAACAAAACAAAAAAAACAGAAAAGCAAGAGGGGAATATCTGAGCAAGAACATCAGAGGCTACACATTGTGGAGAAATAGACTTGGCAGAATTAGTTCAGCCAATTCACTAGACAAACAGACAACAAAGCAAATAACAACCACCTTTAGAGGGGGGAAATCAGTATCCAAAGTTGCTACAATATATTACATAAAATGTCCAATTTTCAACAAAAAATTACAAAACATGCAAAAAACAGGAAAGTGTGACCCATATACAGGAAAAAAAGTAGGTAATAAAAACTGCCTTTGAAGGGGCCTGAATGGTGCACTTTGCAAAGACTTCAAAGCAGCCATTATAAATATGTACAAAGAATTAAAAGACGGGGGACTTCCCTGGTGGTCCAGTGGGTAAGTTCATATGCCGCAACTAAAGATCCCACATGCCAAAACAAAAATCCCACGTGCCGCAACTTAAGACCTGGCACAGCCTAAATAAATAAATAAATATTTAAAAAAAGAATTAAAAGACGGTATCATGAAAATGTCTCATCAAATATAGAATATTAATAAAGAGATAGAAATTATTTTAAAAGATTCAAATAGAAATTCTGAAGTTAAAAAATATAACATTTGAAATGAAAACTTCACTAGAGGGACTCAGTAGATTTGGGGGTTTTTTTAAGTTTTTATTTTTATATTTTTAACTAATTAATTAATTAATTTTATTTATTAGGCCATGTTGGGTCTTAGTTGTGGCATGCGGGATCTTTTGTTGCGGCACACAGGCTCTTTGTTGTGGTTCACGGGCTTCTCTCTAGTTGTGTGCACAGGCTCCAGAGCGTGAGAGCTCAGTAGTTGCAGCATGTGGGCTCTAGAGCGCATGGGCTCGGTAGTTGCCCTGCAGCATGTGGGATCTTAGTTCTCCAACCAGGGATCGAACCCGAGTCCCCAGCATTGGAAAGCGGATTCTTTACCAATGGACCACCAGGGAAGTACTCTCAGTAGTAGATTTGAGCTGGCAGAAGAAATGGTGAACTTGAAGATAGATCAAATAGAGATTATCCAACCTGAGGAACAGGGAGAAAAACTAATGAAGAAAAATAAACAGAGCCTCAGAGAAATCTGACACCATTAAATACACCATCAAATGCATAATGGGGGTGTCAGAAGGAGAGAAAGGGATGAGAAAAACAATTGAAGAAATAATGGCTGAGAACATCCCAAATTTTATGGAAAAACATTCATTTACCATCCAAGAAGCTCCATGAACTCCAAGCAGGATAAATTCAAAAAGATTCACATCCAGACACATCAGAGCCAAAATGTTTAAAGCCAAAGATAATGAATGTACATGGTAGTAGATACCAGGGGAATTCGGATCACACAGGACTTTAATTGTTGAACAAACCCAATGCATAAGAGAAAAAGAACGTAATGGATCTTAACTTCAGATAAAAATTCTTTACCTATAAATGAAGTCCCAGGTTTCCCAAGGATTGATGAAGGCTTTCCACCCTGCAGTTGGGAATCTCAAAAAAGGAAAGAAAGAAAAGAAAAAGAAAACGGTAACTATGTGAGGTGATGATATGTTAGTTTGTTAATTAGCATGGTTGTGATGATTATTTCACAATTATACATATACGAAATTATCAAGTTGTGCACCTTACATGTATACAATTTTTGTCAATTATACCTCAATAAAGCTGGAAACAAAGTTTAAAGGATGAGAAAAACATAGTGTTGTGCTGTAAAGCGGTGATTTTGATAAACAGGTTGGGTAAATATAATATGGGTTGGAATCAATTCAAATCTTGATTCTCAGGCAGCTGATGTGCATTTGTTTCCCTATTAGTAGCCTGCAAGTAGAGTGAGGTATATACATTATTCATAGTTCCAAGGAACAGAAGGCACTAGAGATCAGCACCAGTCAAATGCAGATAATTCAGGCTCAAATGACAATAAATCAACATGTTAATTCGATGCCAAATATGGAAACTGGCATCCTGGGTTGGGAAAGGCAGTTTTCCATAGCAAATGTCCACAAATCCTGTGTGTGGCCCTTACTGACCACCTTAGAATGGTTCAATAACTGGGTAACCCACCTGCGAAGAGGGAAAACGGAAAAATATCTAAATGAGTGTGAATCTCCTCTTTTCCTGGGTACCTTTTCCCAACACCCCTAGCCTTTAGGTCTTTGTTATGCTAATTAAGTTAATCTACTGCCTTTTTAAAAAAAATTTTGGCCACACCATGCAGCATGCTGGACCAGAGATAAAACCCAGGCCTCCGCAGTGAAAGCACTGAAACCTAACCATTAGGCCACCAGGGAATTCCCTCGTTGTCTTTCTTTTAAAGCTGACACTGCCTACACCAACTCTTCCTTGATCAAATAGAGTAAAAAATGAATTAATACACTCAAACTAACATAATACTGTACCTCAACTCTATTTCAATAAAATAAACAAAAAAATGAATTCAGATGAATTGAGAATCATATTTCATAGTGAATGAACTGAGAATCATATTTCATAGTGAATGAATTGAGAAGCATATTTCATAGTGCTTCTGGGAACTGTAGCTTCAGAAGATAAGATTCGCAAACATCACTGAAAAATATGTGATTTTAGGATGCAAATGGAACGATAAATCAATCTTCAGGGGAGTATGATTTTGGTTACTACGGCACCACAGTTATTGGAAATAAATCAACTTCTTTGCAGTTACTACAGAACCAGCAAATGAAAGAAAGGGGAAAAGAAGAAACAGATGGATTAAAACAGAGTCCTCACTTGCTTAATTTTCTTTTTTTAATATTTATTTATTTTGGCTGCAGCAGGTCTTAGTTGTGGCATCTCCGTTGCGGCATGCGGGATCTTTAGTTACAGCATGAAGACTTCTTAGTTGCAGCATGCATGTGGGATCTAGTTCCCTGACCAGGGATCGAACCTGGGCGCCCTGCATTGGGATCTCGGAGACTTAACCACTGGACCACCAGGGAAGTCTCGAGCCCTCACTTGCTTTAGTCAAAGTGTGAAACTACATCTGAGAGTACAAAGAGAAAAGAGGTTACTTTTGTAGTGCCATGCTTCTTGCAGTAGCTCAGTGAAGTATTTAATATAACTATAAGGTAAGAAAATTTGTTTTCTGGTAACTTTTAAAAAATATCACACATCTATTTCCCACCCACTCAGAAACAGAATTAATGATTAAGTTTTGGTGTGCTAACTAAATTCATGCCAATTCTCTACCCTCCCTTGTTTATGGGGAAATTTGTTTCAAAATGCTCAACTCTATTCTGAGAGCATGGAATTATGAAAAAGATGTTCCAGACTAGGAAATGTCACACACATCTAAGCCAACACACTTTAATTTAAAACCAGCCCTTATGTGTAAGATTATACTACAACCCGGCTGACAGACTGGAGGTAATAATTAGACTTTGTGGAAAATAATAGACTGAGGTTCAAGCATGTTGATTTGAATCATGACATAACCTTGAAGTGGTTAACAATTTTATATAGAAAATGAACAGGTTTTTAAAAGTCTGTGGAAGTACTTCCCTGGTAGTCCAGTGGTAAAGAATCTGCCTTACAATGTAAGGATTCTGGTTCAATTCCTGGTTAGGGAACTAAGATCCCACATGCTGCGGAGCAACTAAGCCCGCGCCACAACTACTGAGCTCATGTGCCTCAACTAGAGCCCGTGTGCTGCAGACTACAGAGCTCACGTACCCTGGAACCTGCGCACCACAACTAGAGGGAGAAAAGCCGCACGCCACCACTAGAGAGAAGCCCACGCACTACAATGAAGAGTGTGCGCGCCACAACAAAAGATCCCGCATGCCTCAGTGAAGATCCCGCATGCCACAACTAGGACCTGATGCAGCCAAAAATAAATAATAAATAAATCTTAAAAAAATAGTCTATGGAGTTCAAATAAGCGAGGTAGCATGATCACATTAAAAACGCTAGTCAACCAGGAATTCCCTGGTGGTTTAGTGGTTAGAATTCGGCGCTTTCACCGTGGCCTGCGTTCAATCCCTGGCCGAGGGAACTGCCAACAAGCGGCACAGCCAAAATTAAAACAAAAAAAATGCTAGTCAACCTACGTGTTTGGTTCTGACTCTAAATGTGATCCTCTGATCACTTCTTATAATCTTTAGGACCGTTGACTGCAGAGTATGCAGGCACCTTCTACAAGGAAAAGAACTAGGACTTCACTGGTGGCGCAGTGGTTAAGAATCTGCCTGCCAATGTAGGGGACACAGGTTTGAGCCCTAGTCCGGGAAGATCCCACATAGCCACAACTACTGAAGCCTGCATGCCTAGAGCCCGTGCTCCACAAGAGAAGCCACTGCAATGAGAAGCCCACTTGCCACAACTAGAGAAAGCCCACAGTCAGCAACAAAGACCCAACACAGCCAAAAAAAAAAGAAAAGAACTATATTTTAATTCTTTTATTTGTTTTTTTTTTCCTGTTTTAATGAGAACTATATTTTCAAATGGTGGACTCTTTCTTCCCATAACTAAACTGAGGAAGACCTGCTGACTTAAAAGTCCATGGGGAAGGGGGGGCTTCCCCGGTGGCGCAGTGGTTGAGAGTCCGCCTGCCGATGCAGGGGACACGGGCTCGTGCCCCAGTCCGGGAAGATCCCACATGCCACGGAGCGGCTGCGCCCGTGAGCCATGGGTGCTGAGCCTGCGCGTCCGGAGCCTGTGCTCCGCAACGGGAGACGCCGCAACAGTGAGAGGCCCGCGTACCGGTAAAAAAAAAAAAAAAAAAAAAAAAAAAAAAGTCCATGGGTTGCGGATTCCCTGGCAGTCCAGTTGTTAGGGTTCTGCGCTTCCACTGCAGGGGGCACTGGTTCCATCCCTGGTGAGGGAAACTAAGATCCCAGATCCCACAGGCCATGTGGCATGGCCAAAAAAAATAAATAATAATATTGTATCTATGTTAAATCTGCTGAATTTGATAACAGTGCTAGGATGATGTAAGAGAACGCCCTTGTTTTGAGGAAAAAAATACTTAAGTACTTTAGGGTAAAGGGACGTAGAACATGTAATTACTTTTAAATACTGAAGTACTTTGGGTAAAGGAACATAATATATGCAATTACTTTTAAATAATTCAGAAATACATACATACATGGAGAAAGAGAGAAAATGGTAAAGCAACTCTTGGTAGCTGAACCAATACCAGAAACTGCCTACCTCCACCATTTCATATAAATAAGAAAAATAATCCCCCAAGTCAGTTAGCTAATTTACACTTTGCAGCTGAAAGCATGCTTTACTGATAACTCAGCTGACTCCAATTCACCTTCTACATGTACAGAATCACACTATAGAATTGACATTCTGAAAACAGAAATGGACTTAGAGTCCCAGTAACTTACAGAGTCTAGTCACTTAACCAAGTCACTTAACTGCTCGCGGTTAAAGTATAGTTACTTATAAGATGCGAACATCAAAATGGCATTTGTGATGAGTGCATTGTAAAATGCAAAGTGCTATATAAGTACGGGTGTTTCTAAAACTGTGTTTCTGCTCTTTTACCCTTTTATAGCTTTGTTTAAAATGTTGGCTAGAAGAGTTAAAACTTGTAGAAACATTTTCTTTCACACAGGAGTTCTTCTACGCTCATTGTTTGCTTATAAGGAAATACTTCTGAATAAGAATTTAACCATTTTCTGCACACCTACATAGAAGGTAACAAATTATTACACTGTCTATAACTCAGAAGCCTTTCTAGGCTAGTACCTATTTCTGGCTTCTTTTAGGAGACACAATCATAACAAATATATTTAATGTGCCAGGCATTGTGCAAAGTGGCATACGTACATTGTGTAATTCTCACAAAAACTCAGTGAGTTCGATGCAATTATTATTTCATCATCAGTAAAATGGGGAAAACAATAGCAATTACCTCACAGGTCTGTTGTAAGGATTTGAAAAGACTATACATAGAGCATTTAGCACAGTGCTTGGCCAAAAGTAACTGCTAAATACAGTTTACCATTAGTTAGTACCTTCATTTTACAGATAAACAGACACAGAAAAAAGGCAAGTGTAAGCAACAGGATTTTCAACTCAGGTCTGACTCCCCAAGTTTCTGCCGCTTTCTTTCTTCTTTCTTTTTATACAATTATCTCCTCGTACAGTAGGGGGGAAAAGTAAATCCCCATTATAGTGGCTGAACTTAAAGCCAGGAAACACCTAATTTAATTGTCTTCGACTGTGCTTACCCCCTACCAACGCCAGGCAGAGTGAGCTGCTCACTACGTTCTTGAACTAATGAAAGACTAGGTTTCTAACCCGGGTGAGCTACATCTTTCTGGGCTGGGTAGTTTCCTCGTCTCTGAGCTGGTGTCCCCGGCTGCAGACCCGAAGAGGCTGTTCAGGTCCTGTTCGGGGAAACGGACTTGTCTTCCCCTCCTCAAAAAACAATTTACCGAGGGCCACTGCCCTCCGACCCACTAGGACTTGAAGGATCCCAACCTACATTCGCCTACGGTAACTCCTATTCGTCTCCACCACCTGCACGGCGACCTTCTCGGAGCCCGGCTCTACCCGCGCCTTCCTCTTGGCAGACGCAGGCGCAGGCGCGCGGCAGAGTTCTGCGCGCGCCGCACTTCCCGGCAAACTACAGCTCCCAGAATCCCCGTCGATCGATCCACCTCCCACTCGAGGTGGGGGCGGAGGCGGAGCAGATTGTCTGGGGCGGGGCGTATCATCTTGAAATGTCCTGCTTGTGTCCTCTTGGGAAGAGTTCGTTTTAAAAGAGATTCTGGGGTTCCCTGATAAGGTAGGACATCTGTTCCTCTTAGGTATAATACTGCCCTCCGCACCCCGAGGGTTCCCTCAGTGTAAAACGCAGGTGGTCTAGTCCAGCGGAGACACTTGCCCCCGGCCACGGCGGGGAAGCCTGAGGAGTGAAGGGCCCATCGCCCACGCATGCGCACAGGCGTAGCATGGGGGCGGGAGCCGCTGAGCCCCTTCCCAGCATCTGAGGTGAGTAGGGGGCGGGGCGGGGCGGGGCGGGGCGTGTCCCGGGTTGGGATTGACCACTCCCCCGCGACGGCCACAGTTCGCACAATCACTACTATCCCAATCAACTCTGAAACCCCTAGACCCCAATTGTCCGGAAAATTGGAGTCCCCAGGAGCTCAGTTTTAGCGTTTATACATCAAAATACTGTTTTCAGTTAAACCACTTCCAGCATTTCACTGCCATTATCTGTGTACAAGACTTTCTTCTCTACTATACCGTGCTTTTTGTTTGTTTTGGGGTGTTTTTTTTTGCGGTACGTGGGCCTCTCACCGCTGTGGCCTCTCCCGTTGCGGAGCACAGGCTCCGGACGCGCAGGCCCAGCGGCTGTGGCTCACGGGCGCAGCCGCTCCGCAGCATGTGGGATCCTCCCGGACCGGGGCACGAACCCGTGTCCCCTGCATCGGCAGGCGGACTCCCAACCACTGCGCCGCCAGGGAAGCCCTACCGTGTTTTTTTTTTTTTTTAATAAATTTATTTATTTTTGGCTGTGTTGGGTGTTCGTTGCTGCCTGCAGGCTTTCTCTAGTTGTGGCGAGTGGGGGCTACTCTTGGTTGCAGTGCACGGGCTTCTCATTGCGGTGGCTTCTTGTTGCAGAGCACGGGCTCTAGGTGCGCAGGCTTCAGTAGTTGTGGCACGTGGGCTCAGTAGTTGTGGCTCACGGGCTCAGTAGTTGTGGCGCACGGGCTTAGTTGCTCCGCAGCATGTGGGATCTTCCTGGACCAGGGCTCGAACCCGTGTCCCCTGCATTGGCAGGCGGATTCTTAACCACTGCACCACCAGGGAAGCCCTATACCGTGCATTTTTAAAATAATAGCGAACATATTGGGAGGCCTCACCTTTCATCTTGGTTTTCCGGCATGCAGCAGATAGCTCCTTCCTAACAAGCTGTAGAGCTTAAAGTCTTTTGGACACTTGATTCTATTCAATTTAGTGTCAGACTAGGTACATACTTTGTCATGTTCTCTGATTGTTTCACGTATGTCTTCTCATGACAGGACTCCTTGGGACGATAAAGACAATGATACACTCACTAACTAAAGTAATGGTGGTGCCAATGAAATTTATAATCTGCTGGGGATACAGACAATTAAGCAAGGGGCTTATTGTGCCCTAACCCTAACCATTTTGCTTACAACTTGCTGTGGGACTTGGTTATGTTGCTTAACCTTCTGGGCCTACATTTTCTCACAAAATGAGAAGATTGGACTAGATGATCTCTCAGAACTTGCCAGCTCTAAAATTCTGTGGTTAGTTAGTGAGGAGTAGAATCCAGATTATATCATAATATGTTAATGCAAAGCATCATCAACTTCCATTTCTCTGCTAACATAAATGGAATATAGCTACAAGAATTTTGGCAGCAACATTAGAAAGAACTACCCCTTGTTGTACTGTAATTTAATCCTTATTGCTGAAAATATGAATTTAGCTGATAATACAACTGTCTTCACCCTATATTTGTTGTCGTTTTATAGATCATTGCTAGGAAGAACTCTGGGTACAATAATGAACACAGTGTATGTGATGATGGCTCAAATCTTAAGATCTCATCTGATAAATGCTTCAGTGATTCCTAATCGAATGAAAATGGGTCCATATCTTGGTGTCATTAGAACTAGAATGATGTCAACTCATAAATCCAAAAAGAATATGAGAGAATATTATAGGCTGCTGAATCTGGATGAAGGATGCTCTGCAGATGACGTCAGGGAATCTTTTCATAAGCTTGCCAAGAAATACCATCCAGATGGTGGCTCTAATACTGCTGATTCTGCAACATTTATAAGGATCGAAGAAGCTTATAGGAAGGTGCTTTCCCACGTGATAGAACAAACAAATGCCAGACAGAGTAAAGTTGAAGAAACAGAAGAAGAAGAAAAAAAATTCAAATATAACACACCCCAACACCGGCATTATTTAAGTTTTGAGGGTATTGGTTTTGGGACTCCAAGTCAACGAGAGAAGCAGTATAGGCAATTTAGAGCAGACCGTGCAACTGAGCAAGTGATGGAATACCAAAAGCAGAAACTGCAAAGCCAGTATTTCACCAATAGTATAACTGTTAAAGATGTAAGACACAGTAAGGAACAAAAGATAACTCAAGCAATAGAACGTTTGGTGGAGGATCTCATTCAGGAATCAATGGCAAAAGGAGACTTTGACAATCTCAGTGGGAAAGGAAAACCTCTAAAAAAATTTTCTGGCTGTTCATATATTGATCCCATGACTCACAACCTGAACAGAATATTGATAGATAATGGATACCAACCAGAATGGATCCTAATGCAAAAGGAAATAAAGGATACTATTGATCAACTCAGAGAGGCAATTTTAGTGTCAAGGAAAAAACTTGGGAATCCAATGACACCAACTGAACAGAAACAGTGGAACCAAGTTTGTGAGCAGTTTCAAGAAAACATCAAAAAACTAAACAAGCGAATTAATGACTTTAATTTAATTGTTCCCCTTCTGACCAGGCAAAAAGTCCATTTTGATGCACAGAAAGAAATTGCCAGAGCCCAGGAAATATATGAGACGCTTATAAAAACACAAGAAGTCACAGATAAAAACCCAAATAACTTTGATCAAGGAGAAGGAGAGAAAACACCTGGAGTCAAGACAGGTTTCTTTAACTGGATGAATGTGTGGCAGTTTATTAAAACATGACCATTTCGTTGCTCACAGAACTGCCCCCAATCATTTTCAGTAGTACTGACATCACACATAGAGGCTGAGATTTCTTTCTGTAACACAAGAGTCTGAGAACTGTGTGCCTCTGTACTTTTCACAAAACAAGTCACGTCTCCAGTGATGTGTAGATGAGAGAGCTGTAAGAAACTAAGGCAGAGAAATATTCAACCAGCTTTGCTCTGAGGATATGGCAAAACAAGAGGAGAACTTACTTTTAAGGAAACAATTTAATACATTTCAGTTCGTAAATGTCGGTCATCAGGTGAAAGGAGTTAGGATAGGGACTCAGGCTGGGAGTCATAAAGGGTATTCCAAAGTCTTAGTGCAGTTTTAAACTCTAATTTAAAAACATTTGTTGTTTGCCATCTTCAAACATAGGTACTTCAACAACAACTAAGAATGTATCATGAAAGGTCACAAAATGAAAGAAGTATGGAATGTAGGCAACTAAACCTCCAAATGATGTATGTTTTTCACAAGTTTGCTGCATTTATACACCTGAGGTTATTAAAGTACAAATTTTTCTAAGACTTTTGGGACATTCTCTATATGGTTGGAAATGTTAAGATCAGAAAATTAGCCTAGTGGAGTTATGACACTCTTCTTTTTTATAAAGCCCTTCTCTCTGGGTACTGAATAAAGAAACCACCAAATATCTTGGTTGTACTTTTTCCTGCCTAACTTCATGAGCCATTAGCAGCGCAGATCCATCAGCCAAGCTAGCTGATCTAGCTATTCTAGAAATAGACTCCAATGTCCACTTTTAAAGAGTTTGAAAGTATTTTCTGACCTTTCAGAGGTGGGGGGAAAAAAATCCTTGGGCTCAATGGAAACAAGATTTCACCTTTGGCTTCATCTCTAATCAGAGTTGAAGTGTTAGGTTTACATAAACCTACCTGAAGCCTTTCTTTGTTATGTATCAAACTCCCCAGAGGCTTTTTCAGTGATATGAAAATCTCAGTTTACTGTCTTAGGGATCCAATTTCCTGTCTTAGGAACCCTTTAACAAACAAAGATACGGTACCCACTTGCACCTTTGGCAAATGACAGGATATTGACATCCATGAGATTGTGTCTCAACCACTTTCAGAAAGACCTGACTTCGTTAGGTTTGTGTAACTGCCTATTCACAGAATCGGGCAACTAGAGGATAATGGAGAGTGGTCAAAAGGAGCAGGTGTGTTTCCTTATTTAATTCGGAGCGCTGTACTATGGAAGTGCCTCAGAAGCATGCCACTTGCCCCTCTGATTTTGGAAGAACAAGTTATTTTGTAAAGTGTGTGATAAATAAAATTACATCTTCAGAAGGAAATTCCAGACCTTTCTGCTTACATGATGGGGCATTAATTGGCATATGTCATTACTTCATTGAATGCGTTATCATTAGCTTCTGCAATGATATATTATTCTAAATACAATTGTGAACAGTGCGAAATAAGAGTTTATAATAAAAGCTATAGTTCCAAAACATTTTAGAAGGCTATGATTCTGTGAATCTTGTTAAATATTAGAATTAGATACCTAATTACATTGCAGCAACATATATGAATGAAACCATTTTTGCTATTAGATAATGAGAAGTCAAAATTATCAGGAAACTCCAGTAATTCCTAATTTCAGCACAGCACACTTTATGTTTGTAAATGTTGTCTATATTAATAAAGTTAATAAGGTTAATTAATAAAGTTAATTTTAATGATTAAAGTTAATTTTAATGATTGTTCTGTAAACAACTAATAGGAATAAAAAGCATATTTTTGCCTGGCCGTCTAAGTTAATCTTTTTTGTCTTTTTTATGGATAATGTTAAAACTGACAGAGACATGGACTATTCTTTTTTTTTTTTTTTTTTTTACTATTCTTGTTAAGAAGGCAAATTTGCCTATGTAAAAACAGATTCACTTATTTAAATAACTACATTCCAGGCCAGAAAAAAAGATTTGGGCTGGTTCATTGGAGTTTGTGGAATAGGAATCTGACACTTACCTCTGTTTTGATGTATTGTGTTAGCCAAAAAGTTTGTTCCGGTTTTTCCATAACATCTCATGGATGTTGGTGACCCAGCAGCTTGAGGATAGATCCTCAGATCACAGATCACAGGCTTTTATCTCTGAGTTGTGTCCTTGTTCTGTGTGCCTGAGGTTCGGCCTCAGTCAGTACTCTGGTCCCTCAGGACTATAGTTTTAAGTTCCTTGATAGAACTACTACATTATTATTCATTTTCTTCATCGTGCTCCCAGGATATAGCCCTGGTTTGGGGGGGTACCCCTCCTAGAGAGGTGTCCCCTGTAACGTTGTCTATATGGCTGGGGCCATACTTCCCTGCTACCAACTGCCTGAGTCCCCATCCCTGGGCCTCAGCCACCTTCTGGGACATTTCCAATACCTCTCAGGCACAACTCACGCTGATTTGCCTGTTCCTAGAAGTACTGATTTTCCTTTTCGACAAAGTTCTGTTCATTCAACATACGGTTACTGAAGTCCTGCAAGGCAATCCACCATTCCACCATCTGGATTCTCAGAAATCAGTACCTGGGGTGGGATGCAGCAAAAGGATGCCTCACCCCCAAATGTAGCCCTCAGATACTCACTTTGCTTGGTATTCCTGCTACCACTGCGACCTAGCTCCAGGGGCGGGGGCTGGGCGGGGGTACTAGGCTTCCTCTCCTTCTCTGGCCTAAGGGCAGACCCAGAGGTGTTGTCATAATACCTCTTGCCTGGCTGAGACCAGACTGGAACATCCAAACACAGCTTTCCTCAAGGCTCAGGGATGACAGAAAAGAAAGGAAGACAGTCCCTAGGATGGGATGATACAGCTTGTGACCCTCTCCAGTTTGCCTCGGAGCCCAGTCCCCAGCCTGCTGGGGAGGGAAAGAGCACACCCCTCTTCCACTTTTGACAGGGCCCTCAAGTGCCCTCAGCATGCCTCTCCTCCCCCACATCTCGGCTAGGAAAGTAAGGTCTTAAGGCAGGGGTCCCCAACCCCCAGACTGCGGACCAGTAGCAGGCCGAGGTCTGTTAGGAACCGGGCTGCACAGCAGGAGGTGAGCAGCGGGCGAGCAAGCGAAGCTTCATCTGCCGCTCCCCATCGCTCCCACCGCTCCCCACCGCTCCCCATTGCTCCCCATTGCTCCCCACCGCTCCCCACCGCCCCCACCGCTCCCCACCGCTCCCCACCGCTCCCCA